AAGAACGGTGTAATTGAGTTCATGCTTGATGGTTAATATTTGAAAATTATTTTTTTGCATGTTCATTTTCAATCATACATTCACATAGTAAAATATTTTGCACATAAATTTAAATTTTATTTATTTTAATAACACATTTTCCTCGAAATCACTATTTAAAATATTATTTTTTTTCTCGTTTATCATTCATGCATTTTGTAATTTACACAACTTTTAAGCAATTAATCCCCTATTTGGGCTCTATTTTAATTCTAATACATTTTTTATTTATATTTTTTAATCACACATTATTCAATAAATTATGCTCGTGTCCGGGCGAGATTTTGGTACAAATTATTAATCAAATTTGTTGCCGTTGCGCAGTGACGTGTCAACGAAGGAGCAACAATTATTGACTAAATTCTATGAAAATGACCAATGTACCATTTCACATTTAGCTCTATTTAATTCCTATTCTTTGGTTAAAAAAATGAAAAATATAACTCTTATCTATCTTATCAAATCATCATATGTGAATTTCTATCTCTTTCTGGGTTCCATAACTCTTATATTTTTTATTTTCATTATTAGAAAAGTAGGAATCAAATGGAATTTTAATTCCTTATTCTACAGATGGGGCATTTCTGTCTTTGGATCATTGTGCTGCACACATGGTGTCCAACGGTTGAAAAATAAATTAGGGGAATTCTTTGACCACAAAATAAAAAATATGACAATTATCCATCACATTAAATCAACATATTTGATTTTCTATCTCTTCTGTGTGTCCCTAACAACTATATTTTTCATTCTCATTATTAGAAAAATGGGAATCCAACAGGCTCTAGAATCTACATAAAATTACTTCCAGACCGTCGCTATATTACACGTAAACTCAAAATCTTTCATTCTTTTTTAATCACATTTTCTATAGGTTCCGTTTGGTACACATTAATGTAAAAATAAGAATAAAAAATATAGCCGTTACGGACTCTACACAAAAAATAGAAGGTCAAATATGATGCTCTGATGTGATGGATAACGGTCATCCCATTTTTTATCTGTTAGTGTTGATGCATTACAGTCAGTTTGTATCGGTCGATTCAAAATAATAATAATTAATATGATTATTATTAATTATTTTGTTTATTAATCTTTCATTGTCAAGTCCAATGTTTTTATATGGTCAAAACATGGGTAGAATCAAAGGGTACTTTGCACATTTTCAGTTGCACCTTCTTTCACATGCTTTGGTACTCTGGCTTTTGACCATCGTCGTCTTGTCTTGTCGATTAACCTCCTTTCTTGTTTTTTCTGCATAAATTCTTCTTACATTAGCTTAGCTGGGTTTTGTTGTCCCAAAAAAAGAATAAAAAGAGAAAAAGCTCAAATGGGTTTCCTATATGAGCCGAACTGGGGGTGTATCACAGACTTCTTTCAGAAGTCTCACACCATGTGGGATGGTGGGGTTCGAATTTTTTTTTTATCATTTTTTATTACATTGGACTCTACAGTGGGGTCGACCTTGTGTGAGGGATCTGGTTTTATTCTGTAAAATGAATTTTGTACAATCGGAATTACTCTTCTTATATAGTATTTGTATACTCCATCCATCCGTACCAATATATAAGGGGTGTTTGATAGACATTTTTCTGTAAAAATGTATTTTAGAATAATAAATTAATGTGAAATGTGTGGTTGAAAAATAAGGGTCAGTTTTTGATTTACGTGTAATATTATTTTAAAAAAGAATGTATTGTTAAAAAAAAAAAAAAGAGAGAAATACATTTTGAAGAAAATGGCTACCAAACGTTTTATCTCTTGTATGATACCCACAACAGTTATATTTTTCATTCTCATTCTTCCAAAAATGAAAAACAAACGAGGCCTGTAATTCATCATGTCTCTCTTCTTAACGATCAAATATTTCCTAATAAAATAATATTATAAGTAATTTTAAAATTTTTTCTTCTTTTTTAATTATACATTTAAAAAAAAACACAATTCCAACAATTAAAATTTCAACTAATGAGGGTCAAATTTTTTTGTAGATTTTGATAAAAATTGATAAAATATATAATTAGAAATTTGTTAATCCTATAAAATATATAGTTAAAATTAATTTTTGATTTTGATTTAAATTAGAATCTAAATTTTGATTTTCATCTAGGCTTAATGTGAAATGTCTTGCACTTCCAATCTCAATCAGCATAAAGCCTTAAAGCACGGTGTAATTGAGTTCATGCTTGATGGTTAATATTTGAAAATTATTTTTTTGCATGTTCATTTTCAATCATACGTTCACATAGTAAAATATTTTGCACATAAATTTAAATTTTATTTATTTTAATAACACATTTTCCTCAAAATCACTATTTAAAATATTATTTTTTTTCTCGTTTATCATTCATGCGTTTTGTAATTTACACAACTTTTAAGCAATTAATAAGCTCTATTTTAATTCTAATACATTTTTTATTTATATTTTTTAATCACACATTATTCAATAAATTATGCTCGTGTCCGGGCGAGATTTTGGTACAAATTATTAATCAAATTTGTTGCCGTTGCGCAGTGACGTGTCAACGAAGGAGCAACAATTATTGACTAAATTCTATGAAAATGACCAATGTACCATTTCACATTTAGCTCTATTTAATTCCTATTCTTTGGTTAAAAAAATGAAAAATATAACTCTTATCTATCTTATCAAATCATCATATGTGAATTTCTATCTCTTTCTGGGTTCCATAACTCTTATATTTTTTATTTTCATTATTAGAAAAGTAGGAATCAAATGGAATTTTAATTCCTTATTCTACAGATGGGGCATTTCTGTCTTTGGATCATTGTGCTGCACACATGGTGTCCAACGGTTGAAAAATAAATTAGGGGAATTCTTTGACCACAAAATAAAAAATATGACAATTATCCATCACATTAAATCAACATATTTGATTTTCTATCTCTTCTGTGTGTCCCTAACAACTATATTTTTCATTCTCATTATTAGAAAAATGGGAATCCAACAGGCTCTAGAATCTACATAAAATTACTTCCAGACCGTCGCTATATTACACGTAAACTCAAAATCTTTCATTCTTTTTTAATCACATTTTCTATAGGTTCCGTTTGGTACACATTAATGTAAAAATAAGAATAAAAAATATAGCCGTTACGGACTCTACACAAAAAATAGAAGGTCAAATATGATGCTCTGATGTGATGGATAACGGTCATGTTTTTTATTTTAATGAATAAATAATAAGAAATAAATGGGGCTATATAAAAAAGAATGAAAGATTATTTTTTCTCTTTCTTGTTTTAAATAAAAAAAAGAATAATATGAAAAACAAATTCAAAATTTTTCGTTATATTTTTGTTTTTCATTAATCTATTGTTCTGAAATGCACTCGTAGAAAAAAATTTGAAAATAAAAATATCGAACAGGGTATGATTACCAGCTTAAAAGCGGGAAACTCCATGTAAATTCACGAGCTTTTCTTATACAAACTCCCACGCTCTTCAACTGTCTCTCACTTTCTCCCATCTCGATAGCACAAATTCTCCCACAGAACAGATTCAACCGAAATGGAAGGGCCTCAAGAAATTCCTCTACCAGACAAAGTGGAAATGATCATTGAAAGGATCTGCCATGAACAATCCCAGCCGCCGGTGAAAAGCTATGCCAGAAGTTACCTTGCTGCTATAGGCGAAAAGGCGTCTATTGATGTTCTGATGAGGATATCTTCTTCACCTATTTAAAATAAATTTTAAATGTAAGACATAATAATTAATAAATTAATTAAAAGACGAAAACAATTTAAAATACATCAAACACGATTATTTATTAAAGTTAACACGAAATATATTAAATAGCGACATACATGCGATAATCTAATTACTCCTCCAGCTCAATACATCATTCAAGGAAGACAATATAACGTGGGTTACTATCTAGTTGATAGTATATAACCAAAATGGTCTACCATTGTGCAAACAATTCATGAACCGCATGGTCCCAAAAAAAAAGTTATTTGCTATCAAACAAGAAGCTTGTAGAAAAGATGGTGAACGTGCATTTGGTGTTCTACAATCGAAGTTTGCAGTAACGAAAGGACCCGCAAGGTTTTGGGAAAAACAAGTATTACATGATATCATGACTACATATATAATAATGCATAACATGATTATCGAGGACGAACGTAATGTTGATGCACCAGTTCAAGAATGGACGGAAGCGTCAAGTCCAAAAGTTGAGTTAGTTAAAGACGAAAATCGACATTTTCAGGAATTCCTTGCTCGTCATAGACAAATCAAGGATAAAAAAACTCACATTGCACTTCGAAATGCATTAATCGATCATTTGTGGGATGAACATATGAATTCTGAAAATTAAATTGCAAAAATTTAGCGACTTCGTAATGTCGTCTATCCAAATTCGAAATGTATTGTACTATTTTCTGATGACATGATTTCATATTTCCATTGTTATAGTATTTTTATTAATTGTTCTATGTTTTTAATATTTATTAATGAATTTAATTTTTTTCGTAATTTAACTTAATTATTTATTTAGTAATTTTTGTATTTATGAAATAATTAAATAAATAATATTTTAAATAAATAAATTATAAAGAATAAAAAAATTGAAAAAAAATGGTTAAACACTGTTCATTTGGTGTAATGGTTGAAGATAAATTTTAGTTTGATGTAAAATTGTGCAAAATTTAATGCATGTTTGGAGATGGTCTCAAGTTTTCTTTCATTTCCAAGTGTTTTAATGCCCACTTGGCTAGATTTTTGAAAAGTCAAAGCTGCTTTTGTATATTTCTGATTAGGAGAGATTTTAAAGGTGATATTTCCTACAAGAAGCAGAAGCAAACGGAGAAACCTGCCTAATTGGCCCTAAATAAGTTTCTGTGGAGCTTCAAGTTCCTATTTTGTTGTGTAAAGGATAATGCATGTACACGCCATTTGGATTCCCCCCCCCCCCCCCCCCCCCCCCCCCCCCCCTTTTTGCTCCTACTATGAAAGGAACTCGGTAGGAACCTTTATTTTGAATATATAATAAATTAAGCTCAAAGAGAATGAATTTTGAGTGATAATTAGGCTCCAAATTAGTAATTTAATTTTTAACTGCCTCTGACTGTAAGAATAGGCTAGCCTGTTGGGTTAAATTTGTGTAGGATTCTTAACCAACTGATATTGTGAATTGAAGTCTTTGGTTTATCAGTAGACTTGTGTGCACTAGGAATTCTTACCAAATAAAAATATTAAGTTATTCCACTCCCTCTTGACATTTAACTAGATGAAGCTAAAAAGTATCAAATTTACGGAATTTTCATGCTATAGGAAGATTATTGGGGCCTGGAGTATGGAGAAATATTTTGGATTCGTTGTATAGCATTGCAATAAGACTCTAGCTTCAAAAGCAATAAAATTTTAATTCACATCCAGAGATTAAACGTCATGAAAAAATATTGGTAACTTGTGGCTTGAGATAGCATTGATATAAGCCCGAATCAGTTAGAATTTGGAATTTATTACCTTTCTTTATATTTTACATTAACTGGGAGCTGATATGATGATTATTTCTTCGTATATGCCAATAAAAAGATAGTGTTTATGTTCTGGTTTGTTTCCTCTTAATTTACATTTTTTTCTCATTTCTATTTAGCTCAAGTGAACTTCTCTCTCCATGATAATAGTATTTTGTGAGACATTTCTGACTATCGAATTCTGAGCTTTCTTCCCTGCTTCTTTTGTTATTGCCGTGTGTCCCAAACCTCTTTGTATTCCCCACATTTCTGCACCATTGTAACAAAGGTTTCCTCCACGGGCAGATGGTGAAAGCTCACAGGGTCAGACAGCAATGTATCTAGTGAACTCTCCCTCATCAAGTCGGGAGAAGGCAGTCCCTCGAACAACCAAAGGCCAGCTTTTGTACAAACATGAAGCTGAAGAGAGGACAAGCCCTCAGAAATCCAATTGCCAGTTTGCCAGTGAAATTAGTGAGAGGACCCGTTCTCTACTACAGATCCTAAATAAGCTAGAATTTAGGAGATTATTTTTAGTACTTAGTTACATTGGAAGGTTAGTTGTCCCTGATATTCTAATTCAATACTTTTTTTTAATTCATCGCAGCAATCTTTAATTAATGGCATCTGATTTATTTTGTAGTAAAAAATTGGAAACTGTGATGACTCTGGATGACGTGAATGACATTTTAAGTATGAAGGACAGGCCGATGACATATTTCGAGTCTAAAATTTGGGATTCCTATGGGAGGCTCTTCTATGAAAAGTCAGATCGAAGCGAGGTCAGTTACACATCTTAATTGTTCCTCTTTACATTGTAGTGTATTTCTTCATAGTTTCCTTCTTGTAGTTATGTTGAAACTAATAATCAGTATCATATATTTGTGTTGTAAATTAATCCATGCACAGACCCATTGACAAGTGTGTGAACAATTCTAATAGAACAACCTACAAGAGTTGAAGAGTTATCCATAGATCAAAATTATCTCAACATGATGCAATTGCAAACAAGTGGATCTTGCTGAATTTTTTAGAATAGGTCTTTCCAGTTCAAACATAATGGCGAAAATATTCATTTATTTGTCATAAGAATTTGCTTCTTGTTGGGTAATGGATTTCTTAAAAATTCATCATCAGGTTTTGATGCCAATTTTATAAGTTCAAAATATTTTTGGTTCACTCTATTGTAACTTTGCTAACTTAGCCAGTTTTGCGTCAGAGTGTTGTTACTATTCCTCTTACCATTTTTTGACTTCTTATCTTTATGTTGTAGTATTCTGACTGGGATTGTGGGAAGACTCATTCCTACAATTGTTATGTTAATCAAGATGGGAGTTTACAGTTTAAGGTTTGTATCAATCTATCTTAAATTCATGTGGAGTCATTTGAGTTGTTTCTTTACTCCTTGATAAACTTTATGCTAAGTCACAAAAACCAGCTTCTGTAATCTTTCGTCAGTAATCAGTATGACTCCACCAAGCATGTATAGCATTTCAGATACTGTCCCAGTACAGGAATTCACAAAAATTTCTTTCAAATCAGGGTCCATATTTGAGCGTGCCCAATACTCACATGCAAAGGTCATTAGGAGAGCATAATGTTATGACTGTCAAGTTTCTAGGAGATGGCATGTGTGGTACAGACAAGGAAGGAATTCTTGTTGGTTTGAGGCGCTTCCGATTTTTTGGTGATTTTTCTTAATCGTTTTCCTTCACTGAAATTCCGTTTACTGTCATGCTATTTAGGTACATCTAGCTTTTCTTTGTTCTATTATTTTTGCCATCTAGGGAAGGTTGATTGCTCATGAGTTTACATCTTTGTATCTTGTTAGTGTATATAGTACTGATTATAGCTTTTGAATAGTATTCAAGGATGAGCGCAAACGGAAGAAGAAAACCTCAATTAAGGAAGAGAAAAAATCCACTGATTCTGATCTTAAATGCTACTTTGTTGAATTGTCTGGTAAAAAGATCAGTGAACTAAGACGCCTTTTTATGCACATACACACAGTTTCATCAATAGAAAAGTGCATGGCCAGGTTGATATCACTATCGATTTTTATTTTTTATTTTTGTTTTTTGGTCACAATTTATCTATAAATGATCCTTTGTTGAATATTGATGTTTACCATTGTTGCATGGCTCAGATTTTCTTTGATCCTGTCGAAGACCATAAAGCTTCAAGTTGATCTTGATGCTGTTGAAATTCAGAGAATTGAAGATATACCTTTCCTAGTAGAAAATATTTCTTTTGCTGGCTCCCCTTGCTGCTACTAGACTTCACATGATTTTGGCACTAATTATGTTATCTTTATATCTTCCTGCTTCAGGATGAGAATGACTCTGTTATCTTTGATGAAGATGGGAAGCCTCTTTTACATACTGATGGAACTGGCTACATCTCTGAAAATCTAGCCATGCAGTGTCCAAAAGATCTATGCAGAGCTAAATATATGAAGGATGAAGATCTTCTGGTTAATCTTTTTTCTCTTTCTAGTATGAAGCACCTGTTGGATATTTTTCTAGCCCCTTCATATCTTACTTTGACCTGAATTAGATGTCTTTGTTTTCTTTTCACGATGTTTAAATTGATGTCCATTTTTTTAAAGCAAAGACTTTCATTAGTTTCGTAAACTCTCTTGAAAAAGAAAGTAATTTTTGTGAGGTTTCTGATATATCAGTTAAAAATGCTAGAAATACCATTCAAAGACATATGTGAATACATGTACTAAGTCAAACCAAGACATTAGCTATGTTGGTGCACAGCCCTCAGTCTCCTCCATTTGTCTCTTGAAAAATGATTAATGAAGTTGGAAGGCATTGCTCTAGTTAAACAAAAATGTAAAATAAGCGTGGACCCTAACCTTTTACCTTCGTAGTAATCTTGTTCCCAACCTCTATTTTGTAAGTATACCCAAACATGAATGATCAGGAGAAGAAGAATGATTGATAATTTTAGTACAAGAGGCTAAAGTTTAAAGAATATACAAGAAATTTTGCGTTGGTGTAACCTATGAGTATGTTCAATGACTAAAGTTTGCTTATTATTGACAATAATAGCGTGTAATATTTCTAATACCAACTTGGTCCAATAGCGTGGTGCTTGGTTATCAAAATGGTCTAAGTTTTACCGATGCATCTTGCATTTTTATTTAATAAGCTCTTGAACGTTTGATTTTGCCTATGTTTGGCTCATGTTTATATGAACACTGTTAAGTTGTTTTTCATCCACACATTTCAAGAGGACCCATAAGTACTACCTTGTACCACTCATTTTTATATGTTTATAATTTAAACAATTTATGAACACTTCCCAAACATGCTCTTTCATATAGTTTCCTACTATTTTGTATTTTTTTAGAAGATTTGTGATTTTGAGGATGTATCACGTCAACAAAAAGGAACAAAAGCTGGGAATAGGGAACCGGTAACGTTTTTCTATTTAATTCTTCCATTTTTCTCTCTATGTAAGAAACTGTTTATTCATCAATTATATGTATTATTATTGCATTGTAAGATGATATCTTTATTTCCTTCTTTCAGCCTTTATTGATGCAAGTTAGGTTGTTTTACAATGGTTGTGCTGTTAAGGGAACTCTTCTGGTAAATAAGAAGGTACTTTCTTACTTTATTCACTTACGATTTCTTCTTGAATTCATGCATGGAAAACATCAGTTAGGAAATATAATTTTAACTGAAACGCATGGTATATATATATTCTAGATTTCTACATCTGGCCACTTAACATATTTATCATGCTGTGGAACAAATACTACGAGATCACATATTAATTTACAGAGTCTAAATTTGACTTTTCTTAAATGTTGTGCAAATTAAATTTTGTTAGAGAGCGCAAGAAAGAGGATATATATACATTTTCCCCTCGAGGATGTAACACAGGTTCCGAATACTTAAAATTACAAGTATCCTTATATTAACTATAATATCGATTTAAAGTGTCTGCTATTGATTTGTTAATAAAAAATGATTCCACAAATTCATGTGTATTTACTGGTTGAATATTTGTATTATGATAATAAATTCACTACTCCCCAAAGTATGAGTTGATTTACTATTTATTGCTTCAGTTTTTTTGTGGAGAGCTATGAGTTCATTTTCTTGGTCTTCTAACATTTTTAATACTCAATTACTGCAGCTTCAACCAGGAATAGTTCAGATAAGACCTTCAATGATAAAGGTTGAGACAGATCCAACATTGCCAGTTGGACGAACGTTTAATTCACTGGAGATAGTTGCTGTTAGGTATCTCACTAATTTTTCTTAGTTCTTTGGTCCACGATATTGTGAAAATGGCTTTTTCTGATTTAGCTTTGTCATTTGCAATTAGCATACTGTTGCAGGCGCTTGTTTTACTCATCAAGAATCTTTTCATCATCTCTTCTCATTAGAACCTTGAAAGATTATTTATCTTTATATATATTTTTTTGAGGGGATACACCATAAATTCAAATTCCGTTGAAGCATTTTGGAATTCTGTTTTAGGTTAATTGGAACCAAGACAAAATACCGAAAAGGTTCTTATTTATATTTTTTTATTTATTTTATTTGTAATCTTGACAAGTTGTTTAGAATGTGAATATTTGTAAGTCGCTGAGTTGTATTATAGAAAAAATCAGAGCCCTGTCAATCAGTCAAGTTGGATTTTCCATAAAGGTCAATATTTCCTGACTCTTCGATGTTCACCTTCCAGTCACAAACCTGGAAGAACCTTCTTCTCCAAATATTTGATTGCTCTTTTGAGCTATGGTGGTGTTCCCGGAGAGTTCTTTCTGAATTTAGTGACACATTCTTTGGAAGAGGCACAGAACGTATACTCCAATAGGATTGCAGCTTTGAGAGGTAATTCTTGAACTAACATTTGCTAGCTTATATTGTTCAAATTTTCAAAGGTAATCATCCCCCTTCTTGGTATGTTCTAATACCAATTTACTGATTTTCTGAATTTCAGTATTCCGGTGTTTTCTTGACTACACATGTATTTAGTGCAACATTGACCGTGAATTTGATTTCTATATACTTCATCATTTCTCCCTAGCTATTTCAACCTTAAAATTACTAGAACTATGCAGTAAATATATGTTTATTTTATCTAGCCCCCATTATTTGCCATTTTAATTTTTGGAATAGTATTTTTTTGAAAAATGTGGTTGAAAAAGAAGTAAATTTTTTTGGTTTATGCGTAATATTATTTTATTGGATAATGTGTGGTTGATAAGAAGAGAGAAATGATTTATAATTTTAATGTGGGCCAAACAAGGGCTTAATTATGCTTTTTATATAACATGTGTTTTGTTGCAGTTGCCTCGAACCATGAAGGCATGGATGACGGTTTTATGGCCCAAAGAATGCTATCATCTGGGATTCCTCTCTCTGAGCCATATCTCCAACAATGTTTGTCAAGACTGGTAAAGGATGACAAGGCGAAGCTTAAAACAGGGAGGATACCAATCAGTGAAAGCTTTTACGTGATGGGCACTGCTGACCCTACGGGAAGATTGAACAATGATCAAGTCTGTGTTATCCTGTATGTATATAGATTACACTTCTGAGAAGAGAATTCTTCTATGTGATTTTGCAGTTTGTCTTTGAAAATGAAAGAGTCTAGAAATTCATCCTTTACCTTCTATGACCGTAGTGACTTCCTTTTTGTGACTACTGCCCTCACCAAACGTTGATGTGCAAAGTTAGACTACCACAATCCTCTGCATATTCCTATCAGCCTATTCAAACGATAGCTAGCTTTTTGATTTGTGAACGTCCAAATTAATCTCTTGTATAATTAAAAATTCATAAATAGAAAATAACTTGATTATAATTTTGTTGGAAATGCAGTGAGAGTGGTCAAATTTCGGGCAAGGTGCTAGTATACAGAAATCCTGGACTACATTTTGGAGACATCCACATTTTAGACGCGGTATATGTGGAGGAGTTGCAAGAGGTTGTTGGCAATGCCAAGTATGGTATATTCTTCTCGACCAAAGGCGGGAGATCAGCAGCTTATGAAATAGCGACGGGTGATTTTGATGGAGACATGTATTGGGTTTCCAGAAACCCCGAGGTTAGCACCTGTTTAAGGATTTCTCTCTTAGTTTACATCTGATCGGGAATTACATAAATTATGTGCTACCTCTGATTGTCTCTTAAATATGTCCTTTCTTTTTGTTCTCTTTTTCTCTTTCTTGTTGAAGTAGTTTGTGTTCGTAAAATTTTCCCCATATATGATTGCTAAATCTTGCCTTGAATTGTTCTGCAAAGATGGCATGAGATTATGCTGAGAATTCATATTTTTCTTTTAAATTAACACAAAATATATTAGTTCTAGTTTAAGCATTTCTTTTCACATGAACATTTCAGCTATTGACATATTTCAAAGCAAGTGAACCATGGAGTCGCGTTCATTCGACTCCGGACTCGCATAAGATAAATCCCCTGGAGCTCTCAGAGGAGGAACTAGAACGGGAATTTTTTCGGCTCTTCTCACAAGCAAGGAAGCCAACGTATGCAATTTTTTCTTTGTAGAGTGAAGCAATTTTGTAATTTATACAAGATTAATCTTGTGACTAAATTTTCTGGTTTGCTCCTCCAGTTATGACATGGCCACCGCAGCTGATAGCTGGCTCACAAATATGGATCAACTGCTGATGTTGTCGGATGATAGTGCCTTTAAAAAGGATGATTTGAGGAGAAAAATCATTCAGTTAATTGACATATATTATGATGCTTTAGATGCACCTAAAAGTGGAAAAAATGTTAGTTTGGTGACGCAATTTTTTTTTTTTTTTTGACAGACCCTATATTTCTAAATGATATTTTTCTTTTTTCATGTACACTAATATCCCACTATTCTCACTCTTGTGAACCAGGTCAAAGTTCCCAATCATTTGAAGGCCAAATCATATCCTCACTACATGGAAAGGGGCCCTCGCTTTACTTATCATTCCACTTCTATATTGGGTCAAATTTATGATAGAGTCGAGGAATCTAAAACTGATCATTTCCCCACAATAGGTAAATATTCCTTGAATCACCATCATCAATTTAGTTCTATGAGCGTGTTTTTAGATTCCTGGCAAGCTGCATAAGTAACTTTATGCAAAGTTTAAATTTGTTGGATTTAGATATTGCCTTTGGTAATCTTTTTATCATACTTCGGTAGACAAGGTCTTTTTACTATTAAACAATGTGACATGGCTTGGATCTTGAATATAATGAGTAATTGGCATGGTTCTTGTTGTGCAGAAATCTCGAAACTACCCTGTTTTGATGTTGAAATCCCAGAAATGTACTTGAATATGTGGAAGGATAGATACGATGAGTATCGTATGGACATGACCCGGGCCTTGAATTCGAGAGGTGAATCAAAAAATGCTGCTGCCGATGAGGTGATCAGAAAATACAAGCAGGTACTTTTTATTATAGTTGAAACAAAAGAAATTAAAATCAGTTGAACTACGGGTTTCCATCTGAATAGTTCAACTTTTTTAGAGGAATAGCCCTAGCCCTTGGACTCTGTTCATTTAATAAGCTTTAAGTGAATCAAATTGCTCATTTGAGCGTATTAGGTGCTGATACCATATTGAGTCTTGGAGCTCTGTCAAAAAAAGTCAACCTTGTTAAAGAGTACTAGTTTGGTTCCACATATATTGTCCATTTCATCTTTATTCTATGTGGGAGTTACCCTTGACACTTTAAAATGCTTAAACGCATGCAGTTGTTGTACGATGCCTCGGACATGGAAGAAAGTGCGAAAAAAACTGAAGAAATTGAGATGGAGGCCCTTGCTATCTATCACGTAACATACGACTTCGCTAAAAAACGGAATGATCCTGGAAAATGCAAATTTGTATGGAATGTGGCAGGGGCTGCACTCTGTAACCTGCATTCCCAGAAAATGGCCGGTCCAAATGAGAGGCCTATCGTCATTTTATCATCTCTTCTACGCGATATCTTGAGATAAGGAATCTTAGTATACAGCAACATGACAATGTATTCTGTTTGAAAAATAACAATGAATGTAGCATATAATCTTTATCTATGCACAGGCAAAATATCTATTCCTTTTGCTTTGTGCAATGTATGTATAATATCTATAATATATTAGGTGTCACCGATGAATTTATCATCTACTGGAGATTGGATCTTTGTAAAAGCAGTAGACATGTGTTGGTCTGCAGGGTAACTTTACATGTATATATAAATTTTCTATTTGCATTATTTATGTGTTTTGTTGAAAATTTCATATTATATCAAATGGTGGTGCATTTGTTGAGTGTGCACCACTGCATCTGGTTGCCACGGATCCTATAGTTGAGCCCAATATGAGGGCACATTTTTATCGTGTTGGGTTGAGCCTGGGCAGTTCAACACATTTTTACACATCGGGATAAATAATGAGAGAGGAAGAAAGTAGACGAGTACGGAGACCAATATTTTGTACATTACAAGACCAAATAGAAGAGGGTAAAAAGTGAGAGGAGACCGAAAATGTTTTCGTCGTATTTGTTCGATATTAATTCTCAATACCTACGAGTTTAGGATAGAAAATGACTTTAAGCCCCATCGATTAACATAAAATTCTATGAGTCACTTGCAAAATTCCCTCATGGACGCAAAAGCCGTTAAATAGTACATCTCGTAGGACAAAGTCGTGATTTATTGAAATAGCATAAATGCGGGGAATAGGGTTTTTTTTGTCAATTATGCATTTATTAATGAGACACGACTTTTATCTTACATTGCATACTAGTTAATATTGTTTATGTCCCTATTGGAATTTATAGTGACAGAATTTTAAATTAACATTTCCGATCGAATGATCATTAGCGTAACCATTAAAAATTTTGAGTGAGTTGTACTATAAAAAAAATTATCTCAATAATGGACGACAATTTTGCTGAAATTCCATAGTTTCTTGATATATTAGAGTGTGTTTGATTGACATGAAAAATATCACCTAAAAAAGAAAATATTTTCCATCTTTTGTGAAAAATAAAAACCACATCTACCCAAAAAAAATGTTTTCCTTAAAAACAAGGAAAATTAGGCATATTTTCAAAAGTTGGAAAATGTTTTCCATGGAAAAAAATAGTAATCAAATACTTCAAATAGGAATTTGGGTGGAAACTGATATTTTTCATGGAAAATAAATGTAATCAAACACATCGTTAATGTTTAATAAGGCATGAAAAACAACTGCATGAGAGATTTTCAAAAATGCTATGCAGATGTGGTCAAGACACAAAAAATAACTACCAACTTCTCTTTTGATTGTCTAATATCAAACGAAGAACTAAAAACCACAAGGCGCGTCCCATTTTATGATTTTTTTTCCATTTCTTTGGGAGCCATTTTTCGACTTTTTTTATTCCAATTTTTTGGAACCATTTTCTTGGAAGGATAACTTGACAAAAACACTATTTTTCTCCAGAAAATTGAAAAATGCAACCTATTACTATTTTTTAAGAAACACACACACACACACACACACACACACACATATATATATATATATATATTTTTTTTTTATTTTTTATTTTTTGCTAGAAATCAATATTTTACAATTTATCTACTTCGGTATTTCTTCAAAAAAATATCTCATTGTCATTTAAAATCAAAATTTCATTAAAAATCATCATTTCTTATGAAAAACATATACTTACTATGTTACTCTTAAAAAAAAATAAAAATAAAAATAAAAATAAAAATAAAATCAACATTTTAGGTAACACACTAATACTTGAAGAGTAATATATCCCATTAATTTATTTTATGGTTTTGCTACACAATCATTTGAGTAATGGCTACCGGTAGCCATCTTATATGACATATACATGATAGTTTGTTATCTGATACATTAATGTGATTTATTTATTTTTATTGTTTCACATATCAAATAAAAAATTTGCATGTATATGTTACGTAAAACGACTATTGATAGCTTCACTACGAATAACATTATTTCGATCATTTTTCAATCACATATTCACACAATAAAATATTCTACAAATCTCCCAAAATTTTTCCTTATTTTTTGACCATACATTCTCCTAAAAATACAACTCAAAACACATTTATTCTCCAACTAAAGAGAATCAAACATGCACTTATTTTTTTTTTATAGTGTAATATAGCCCTTGTTTAGGCTCCAATAAGAACATTTATGTTACTGGGTCCCTGTTTGGCCTACACACACACATATATATATATATATATATTTTTTTTTTATTTTTTATTTTTTGCTAGAAATCAATATTTTACAATTTATCTACTTCGGTATTTCTTCAAAAAAATATCTCATTGTCATTTAAAATCAAAATTTCATTAAAAATCATCATTTCTTATGAAAAACATATACTTACTATGTTACTCTTAAAAAAAAATAAAAATAAAAATAAAAATAAAATCAACATTTTAGGTAACACACTAATACTTGAAGAGTAATATATCCCATTAATTTATTTTATGGTTTTGCTACACAATCATTTGAGTAATGGCTACCGGTAGCCATCTTATATGACATATACATGATAGTTTGTTATCTGATACATTAATGTGATTTATTTATTTTTATTGTTTCACATATCAAATAAAAAATTTGCATGTATATGTTACGTAAAACGACTATTGATAGCTTCACTACGAATAACATTATTTCGATCATTTTTCAATCACATATTCACACAATAAAATATTCTACAAATCTCCCAAAATTTTTCCTTATTTTTTGACCATACATTCTCCTAAAAATACTACTCTAAATACATTAAATTTTATTTTTCGCTTTTCTATTTTTAATCACATAATTTTTTATTAAATGTAAATTGAAAAAAATTTCTTCTTTTTCAACTACCATTCTCCAAAAAATACTATTCCACTCATTTTAATATGAAAAAAAGAGTCCAAACGGGGGCTAAATGAGATGAAAATGACGAATTCCACAATAATTAAAATGATGGTTTAAATATAAAATTTAAAATAATATAAACGATTTGTGCAATGAGTGAAAACGATAAAAACATTTTGACCTTGTTTGGTACTACTAAAAATCAAAATTTAAATCCAAATAAAAGTCAAAAATTAATTTTAACCATACATTTTATGGAATCCACAACTTTTCAACCATAAATTCATCAATTTCTATCAAAATTTACTGAAAATTCGATTTTAATCCCCACCAATCGACGACTTTTTGCTAATTATCTTTTGGTGCAATTACTAAAAAAGCCAGAAGGATCCTTCGTATCACTATACCATCGGATGCCCTGTTGTATTGCTCTGCTTTAAGGAACATTAAGGGCCTGCTTGGGAGTTTTTTTTCCACCGGTTTTGGTTGGTACCGTTTATGAGCGTTTCGTAGAACCGGTGCTTATGAGTTTGTTTGAGCACCGGTTATGTACGGTTTAAAAAACTCCCAAAATCGGTGTAGCTCAATTTTGAGCGTTTCTCCCAACTCCCCAAATCGGCGGGTTTTGACCGTTTCTTAAATTATCTTCCAAGTTTACCCTCTTTAAAATAATCATTGCCAAGCCTTCCAAAATCTTATACATCAACTCTTCCAAAGCAGGAGGAAGAAAAACAACAGCAGAAGCTTCAACTGTGAATTGCAGATAAAATGCAAACGACATCCCAAACATCAAATCCTGCAAACGAGTTGGGCAGAAGGTTTTTAGAGGTACAGAGGGCTTGGGAAGTCCTCGGAGATTCAAAATCTCGTGCTTTTTATGATAACGAGCTGCAATCTTCGAGGCAAGATTCTGCAACTGCTGAAGATATCAGATTAGAGGATCTGTCAATCGAAGAGGTTGATGATTTTTTTGAGCTTTCGAACGGCTGTAGATGTGGCAATTACTTCCTAATCCATTCTGTGGAATGTAACAGAGAATTGGAAAAATAACAGAGAACGGCTGCAGATGTTGCTATTCAATTTTGTTTTTGCTGATTATCTATAATTTTGTGGAATGTAACAGAGAATTGGAAAAATGACAGGTGATTTTGATTAAAATTTATAATGTGGTACCCATTCAATTTTTGTGGCCTGTGGACTGTGGAGCCATTATTTGAATAGCAGAAGATTTGAACTGTGATATTTACCAAAAGTTTGTAATGTTAAACAAGAAAGATTCTATCAATAAAGTGATGGGTATATATGTAATTTTATTTCTTAAAACGTCTTTTAGAACCGGTGGATAACGAACTCCCAAGCATGGGTTGGAGCGTTTTAAGAACTGCTACTAAAAACCACCCAAAATCGATCCGCTCATAAATGCTCAAAATCGGTACTTTAAAAAACGCTCGTAACCGCTACCCCGAAACTCCCAAGCAGGCTCTAAAAGTAAAGAATATGGCAATTGTCTTGTTTGTAAAGGCCCTCTTTTCGCATACAAAGTAAAAATAGCCAACTTAAAATATTTTTCCAAAAAGGTCCCGACTTGAAAGTTGTCAAGTTTACTTTCGTAAAAATGAATCATTAAGGCTTAGCATGTTTGCCAATTGTAATTTCAGTTAGATAATTCTTGTTGTACATTAAGGGAACCATAAGGGTGTCCATTCCTGACGGCCCCCTATTGGAAGGGATGCCGTGGGCTAGCGCCCTCTCCAACAGGGAGCCGCCGGGTGTCCATTATGGACACCCTTATGGCTCCCTTAATGTACCTATAACAAAGTCATTTTCAGTTAGCCCCAACTTGACCCCATTAAATTAAAATTCACACATTTTTCAATAAAATTATGTTATACGTAAACTTAAAAACTTTTTCATTTCTTTTTAACCACACATTCTTAAAAAAAAAAAAAAATTACTATTGTTTTTATTATAATATGAAATAATGGAGCCCAAACATATTTTTTATTCATATACACCCCATTTTTTCTTTTTATGTAGAATGCATTTTGGAATAATAGATTGACGGTGAATGTGTGGTTAAAAATAAGAAAAAGTTTTAAATCCACACGTAATATTATTTCATTGAAGAATGTGTAGTTAAAAAGAAGAGAGATAAAAATATATTTTGAAAATAATGATAATCAAATAAGGGCATATTTTATATGGTCAAGACTTAACCCTTGTTTGAGCCCCATTTTTTCAAAACTCATTTTCAACAACATATTTTTAAAAAAAATAATATTATATGCAAACCTAAAACTTTTTTTTAATTTTTAACCACACATTATCTATCAATCACTATTTAAAAATGCATTCTTTCCAATAAAATGGGGCTC